GTTTGTGATTGAGTAAGGTGAGGCTTGGCTCAGGTTTCTTCCCTCTTGGGTGTGAACTGGACACACCTGCCTCGACTGACTGCAGTCAGGTGTACAGGGCAGGGGGCTTTGTCCAAACTCCTCCAGTTCAGGAGAGAGCTAGCTTCTAGGACCTTAGTGCTGTGGGACTGCCGGCTTTATAACTCTCTGGAAAATGTTTTTGTTTAGTCTTGTTGTGTTTTTTTTCCTTGTTGGCCCGAGTGCCATTGTGGCTGAGCCAGCAAAGAACTTTCCCTCCAGCCCGCCCTGGGACACAGCTGAAACCAAAACCTTGAGGCCTTGATAATAAAGCTATTTAAAGAAAACAAAAATATAAAAAATACATCTGCTTACTACATTCTTTAAAAAAAATTAGAGCTGCCCCTTAATTTGGAGTAGTTCAAGATAATTAAAATTTAAAAGCACTTTGAGGATCTTATCACAAAAACTCACAAGTTAAAAAAGCACAACATTTCAAACCTCAAATTGTTACATATAGCATTATTACAGGCACCTTCCAACAACCAAAGCATGAAACATAGGACAAAAACTATTCTTATAACATTTAAATGTACTGTACCTAACTCAACAGTGTTCTTGGAGAATGAGTTCTTGGATAACACCCACAACAGAAGGGCAGTTAACCACTATTTTGAGAACTTCTTCAATCATATTACTTGACATCAAGCTTACCTGCTCTGCAGTTCACTCTCCAGTGTTTTCCCCCAGGCATGGTCTGTTTAAATATCTCCACTGCCATCTTTTTACAGTCTGTTGAAAAGATCTTCAGCACATTCTCTGAAAAGGCCTGTACCAAAACAGAAAAGGAAAAACTCAAAAACAAAGATAATAAAACAGGCAAAATCAAAGAACAAAGATATTTAACTGTCAAAACAAAATGTTCCTGCTGCACTAGCCTATACTGAAAGGTCATACCAAGGTATTTCATGATTGTCCTGTCTTCATATTTCTCTTATGACGAAAGCATACAATCTTAAACTATTTTTTTTTTTAAATGTAAAAAAATAAATAAATTTGCCTTGTCTCCTGTAGTAGACATGGCTAGAGCCTAGTTTACAGGTAACTGGTAAGGCACAGGGATCGCTGTAGTCAGCCAAGGATACCCTAACTTCAGCCAACCACAAAAACCCTCCTTCAGCTGTGCACTGCCACCTGGGCAACCCAGCTGTCCTCACCTGAAGGTTCAGCCAAGGATACCCTAACTTCAGCCAACCACAAAAACCCTCCTTCAGCTGTGCACTGCCACCTGGGCAACCCAGCTGTCCTCACCTGAAGACATAGAGAAGGCTAAAACTGGTGATGTCTGCACTATACAGTAGATCTGAAGGTGCTCCAAACTAAAGGGTTTGGTTTTGCCAAAGGGGGCATTTTAAAAACCTCTCATGTTCTTAAGCTGCACTATTTGTTAAAACACTTGGAAACCACTAAAATATTAATTGACAGTTTTAAAATTATATGGTTGCCACTACTGCCTAGAGAGAGAAACTGCTATTGTTCAAGTCAATACATCTTCTAGTTCTCCATCTTCAATACTACCTCTGGAATTCTTAGTGTTTCAAAATAAACAGTTTCGGCCTGGTTGTGCAATTTTACAATGGCAAACAAAATGCAGAAACAGCAGCTTCTGTATTAATGTCTTGTGACTGTTGTAATCATCAGCAAAATATTTAGTGTCAGTCATTCCAACAATTGGTAACCTAGTAAAGTGTCAACAGTGAGCAACAGTTCTTAAACAGAGCACAGACAGAACAAGTG